TAAAAGATACTCAAATTAAAAGTCCAAAAACCTAAAATAGAAATGAAATAAATGATATCCTAAAAATTAAATGAAAAAAAATTATATATATTTTTTTAACAATAAAATCTAAAACCAATAAGAATTAGTTAATTAAAAAAAAATAAAAAAAATAAAATGCGTTTCTAAAAATTTTATGTAATTAAAATAATAGTTATATAAATAAACAACAGTAATATATACAAAAAAAATTAAAAAGTAAACAAAATAAGTGTCTAAAAATTGAATTAAATTAAAGAAAAAAAATCCTTTTTTTCTTCTTAATGAAATCTCGTAATTAAAAGAAAATTAAAAAAAAAAGAAAAAAATTAATTCAACGCAATTAAATTTATTGAGAATTAAGTAACAAAAAATTCGCTGCCCGGTTTTTCGACCTTGGAGCTCTCGAGAGGCACGCCAGCGCTTTGCTTACTCGGCCATTGCGACTGTTGAAGCGACGCGAGCTAATTGATATACAAGTGCTTTCTCTCAAAATAGCTTTTCAACTGAGTTTTTTGTACTTGAGTGCTTAGCTAAACCTGAATACCTAAGTTTTCTTACTTAAGCATTCAGCAACTCCTAAATTCCTGAATGTTTTCATAGACACTTTCAAACACTAAGTATTTTTCGGTACGTAAACTAGTATTTTAAATACAAAAGTACTTAAATATGCCGATTAATGATGTGTATGTATTTGCAAATTTTTTGAAAATTTTTCCACTCTAGATTTTCGAAGTTCATTTAAAATCGATAGCGTTAGCGTAAAACCTTTTTTTAATTGAATAAAATTAATTTTACTGGGCAGGATACCTTTAAAATAAATGCGAGCTCCAGCTTCAGGAAACGACGAAATTCGACCGAAACCAGCACTCTTATTGTTTTTTATTTTCATTTTATTTTCTGAATAATGATAGACAGTAGCTTTGGCGGACTTGGAGCTCTTCATGATTTCATTTTTTATTACTTGACCGCCTTATACTAAGTACATATATTTACATACGAAATCTACAGTCAGTGTGTTTAAAACCTTAAATCCCACTCAAATTTCCACTGCGAAAGCGTGTGAAAAAGCGCAAATTTATGCTAATATCTACTCTGTATCGCTCACCATAGCAATAACCACNGGGCATTTGAAAAAGCGCAAATTTATGCTAATATCTACTCTGTATCGCTCACCATAGCAATAACCACAATCATCTGAATCGATAAACAGTTTACTACTCATGACATGATCATAGCGATATGTCTGCAGTAAAGGNCAAGAAAAAAATTAATTCAACGCAATTAAATTTATTGAGAATTAAGTAACAAAAAATTCGCTGCCCGATTTTTCGACCTTGGAGCTCTCGAGAGGCACGCCAGCGCTTTGCTTACTCGGCCATTGCGACTGTTGAAGCGACGCGAGCTAATTGATATACAAGTGCTTTCTCTCAAAATAGCTTTTCAACTGAGTTTTTTGTACTTGAGTGCTTAGCTAAACCTGAATACCTAAGTTTTCTTACTTAAGCATTCAGCAACTCCTAAATTCCTGAATGTTTTCATAGACACTTTCAAACACTAAGTATTTTTCGGTACGTAAACTAGTATTTTAAATACAAAAGTACTTAAATATGCCGATTAATGATGTGTATGTATTTGCAAATTTTTTGAAAATTTTTCCACTCTAGATTTTCGAAGTTCATTTAAAATCGATAGCGTTAGCGTAAAACCTTTTTTTTAATTGAATAAAATTAATTTTACTGGGCAGGATACCTTTAAAATAAATGCGAACTCCAGCTTCAGGAAACGACGAAATTCGACCGAAACCAGCACTCTTATTGTTTTTTATTTTAATTTTATATTCTGAATAATGATAGACAGTAGCTTTGGCGGACTTGGAGCTCTTCATGATTTCATTTTTTATTACTTGACCGCCTTATACTAAGTACATATATTTACATACGAAATCTACAGTCAGTGTGTTTAAAACCTTAAATCCCACTCAAATTTCCACTGCGAAAGCGTGTGAAAAAGCGCAAATTTATGCTAATATCTACTCTGTATCGCTCACCATAGCAATAACCACAATCATCTGAATCGATAAACAGTTTACTACTCATGACATGATCATAGCGATATGTCTGCAGTAAAGGGACAAAGAAAGAGCGATGCTCTTTATCAATACACGCCGGCACAACTTTCAATAATAGCTTAATTTTTATGAATACTAAAACGAGTACTATTCATCATCTTTACATGCATCTACAGAGCAATAACAATATCTGCTTATGTTCATCATTATTTTCTCTTGTTGTTTATTTCATTGCAGACAAACAGTGGGAAAACGAAGCACAAACAGACAATCAACCTAACTGCATAGATACCCGTGCACATAAATATACAGTTAGGAGGATAATAAAAATAGTTGGAAAAAAAGCGCTGCAAGCGACAGCAAACGGTAATAGTAGCAGGCAACAGCCGTGGGCGAGTAGCAGTATTCAGAATTCAGCTGAAAATTGAATGAACAGCCAGTGGGCGTACTAAGAGCAGAAGACGTCGTCAACGACGACGACGACGACGACACCAAGTCAAGGCGAGCACACGTGCTGCCACAACAAACACACACACGCGTGCNGGCGATATGTCTGCAGTAAAGGGACAAAGAAAGAGCGATGCTTTTTATCAATACACGCCGGCACAACTTTCAATAATAGCTTAATTTTTATGAATAATAAAACGAGTACTATTCATCATCTTTACATGCATCTACAGAGCAATAACAATATCTGCTTATGTTCATCATTATTTTCTCTTGTTGTATATTTCATTGCAGACAAACAGTGGGAAAACGTAGCACAAACAGACAATCAACCTAACTGCATAGATACCCGTGCACATAAATATACAGTTAGGAGGATAATAAAAATAGTTGGAAAAAAGCGCTGCAAGCGACAGCAAACGGTAATAGTAGCAGGCAACAGCCGTGGGCGAGTAGCAGAATTCAGAATTCAGCTGAAAATTGAATGAACAGCCAGTGGGCGTACTAAGAGCAGAAGACGTCGTCAACGACGACGACGACAACAGCAAGTCAAGGCGAGCACACGTGCTGCCACAACAAACACACACACGCGTGCTTATGCAAATAAGTGCCATTGAATAGATACATTTCTTTTATGCATATGCTGTGCTTCATATGCTTAAATCTGAAGGGACAAGAGTCAATTCACAATCGCCCTGAGGAAAGCGAAAGCGACAGTCCCACGCGTAAGCTAGTACAGAGAAAAGGAATGCTACCCATTTGAATACAGCGCTTACTACTCATACTATTTTAATACTTTGATACGACAACAACACAAGCTAGTAGGTACAACAATAAATAGCGTGCATTTTGAACATTGCCATAGCGCAGACAACTATCACCAGCGCTAGCGTACAGCTGAATTGGTATGCTTAACATCAATTGTAACACTTGAAGAGACAATAGACGCGCAGCGGATAGTGTGCAGGAAGAAGAAGCAGCAAAAGAAGAAGAAAAGTAGTAAAACATAAGTCCCTAGCAGCAAGTGCAGGCAGCAGCGACCAAATAAGAAGAGAGAGAGAGAGAGAAGGTGCAAGGCCAGAAGGCAAGGCAGTAAGCAATAACAACGATAGTCAGCAACATAGCAACATTGCAAGCGCAGCAGCTGCAGCGTTGAGCGCAAGGACGCTACAATCATTGAAGGGGTAAAAAGAGTGGCGTATTAACCAACCCAAAAGAATTATTGCGATCTGCACGCAGTGGGAGCTCAAAGCCCGAGGCACGAAACAGTAAACGAATAGTGGCAGTAGCGGTTATAGAGCGAAGACCCTTCCGATAGCTTCATTGTTGCTTTATACATATTTCATTTTTTATTTTTTTTCATTTTGTATAGTTAGTTGTATGAGTGTGGCATAAACATTGGCGGTGAAGCACTAACCAGAACAGCCAGAAGGAAAACGAAGAACAAGCAACGGCGACAACAATAACGAAGCGGTTCGAAGTTCGAGGAGCGCGCAAAAAAGGGGAACAAAATAGGCGCCGCCAATAAGTTTGAGGACGAAGCATAAAAAGCAGTTACACGAGTTGTCGAAGCAGAGCAAGACATTCAACCGAAGTGGAGCAATAAAAAATAGCAAAACTGAAGAGGAAGAGGCCCGTACTTACGAATTTATAACAGTGAACGGCAAGTCGCCCACATAACTCTCGTATCTGTCGATAAAGCCACCCATCGCACTAGTAGAGGAAACAAGTCAGAACAGAAAAAAAAAAGATAAAAACCCAAATAGTCATTCCAGACGAACGCGTGCGCCAGCATATCAGCAGCATATAAGTAAAGCAGCAACGAAGGTCGCCGAAGTTAAGGAGCTGAGGAGCATTGAACGCTGTGGACAGCAACAAACATAACAACAAATATTCGACGCAGGGGGTATACGATACGATACAAATACATTTAAAATAGGACGCATATACGCACCATACGCATATATGTACATAGGGAGTGTGGGTTACTCATACGACACGACGCACGACAACTTGCCAGCATTGTAACTATAGGAGCGAATGAGTTTACATCGACATTGTATAAGTGGCTGTGTGTTTTTATGCGTTGGTGTAGCATAGAGTGCGACACTTTAAGAGCAAACGACAACAAAAACAATAAGCGACAGCAAAAACAAAAACAACAATAATAAAAATTACCACCACAATTCTATGGATAGCAAATGCAAAAAGTGAAACAACACGAAAAACAGTAACAACAACAAAAACAACAAAATCTAACAACAACAACAACAAAATTCAAAATAACAACAGCAGCGCCGACGATAACAGCAAGTTGTGTACAAAAAAAAAAAACCAAAATAAAACTAAAAAAATAATACCATCAACAACAACAAAAATACAAAACACTAACAATCATAGTTTTCAGTTGCTGCTCCTGCTGCTTCTGTTGCTAGCAAAGTGACATTCACACAATTATACAAACATGGATGCTGAAACGGAGGGACTACCACCCAATAACACCGTCGTCGAGGTGACAAGCGCCGAAACGGATTTAGCTACCCGACGTCGCCTCTTCAAGACACAACCGTCGACATTGGCCTCGCGGCGTCAGCAGGCGGTGTGTGTACGAAGGGCGCATAAAATGTATGGAAGTGGCAAAAATCCGAATGTCGTGTTGGATGGCCTGAATATGACTGTTCCTAACGGCTGTATGTAAGTATGAACTAAAGTAATTTTATATTCTTGCAAAAAAATAAAAATAAAAATAAAATAAAAAAGCAGGGAAACACAATAAATGTATATATATATATATATACTTTACTTTCGAGTACTTTAGAGCGTACCAGGTAAAGCATTTTTGCATGGAAATTTTTATTTTCTTATTTTTTTTTGTCAAACGTATGGGTCACTTTTTTAAATTGTTGTTTTATCTCCCGTACTTACAGTCACATCTAAAATGTTGTTCCAAAATGCATTCACCTCAAATACTCGGTTCTAGTACTTTCCCAACTTATGTCAGTTAATTAAAGCTTGCCAAAAATAATTACATTTTTGCTAACAGTGTATTTAGATTCGAAGGCAATTTAGAGATTTTTTTTGGCCTAATGTTTGCAATTATTAAATTTGTGCAACGGAATTTTTTTGATAATTCCCAAAAAAATAAAAATTTTAGTAATAAAAGCAGCCATCATCAAAATATGTTAAAAGGCAAGAAAAAAAATCGAAAATGCCTCAAGGCTCAGTTACACTAGACTTAACTTAGTCAACACGTCAACTTAGCCAGAATGGAAACTATTTTGTTTTTGTATTTTCCTTTTCAGGAAATTTAAGTCTACATTAACTGAACCTTTACAAAAATACTTAACCTAAAGTCGATTTTTTTTTAGCTTGTGAGTTGGTACGGTCTAATGTATATATGTATGTATATTTTTTTAGTGCAAAAGGAGCACCCAAAACATTAAGTAAAAAAAAAGCGGGTATATAAAATAACTACAACATAAATCTATAAAACATTGTTTGGGGTTTATGCAGAAAATATATGGCAACACCCAAAACATATAAATCCGAGTTGTGTGTGAGGCAGGGAAATCGGCAAATTTCGGGTTGAAGAAACTGACACATAAAAATGAAATAAAATCACAAATCACTGTGCAGTTAAAGCTGCTGCATAAGTGAATGGGTTTGCTGTGAATAAAAGTTCTATAAAAGATGAAATTAAGTTAGTAAGCGAATATGGCGCTTGAAATTAAAATTAAATACGGGAATACAAGTGTAACCAAAAAGCTATTGAACCATTTAAATATGAGTATTTTTTCCCACTTAAGTTCTCTATTTTGTTTAAGTTTACTCCTTTTCCTATCCCTTTTTAATTTTCTATACCAAACACTACTTCCACAACTAAAACTATAACTGTCATCTTTCTGATAGCCATTTTTTTTTTGACAGCGTTGGGACCCAAAGTAGTAAAACGCGTTAATGTATTTTCCCTTTTTGTTATTCCCCTGACATATTAAGGATGGATGAAAAAGTGAGTCAGTTGTGCCTTTTTCCGCAATTTGTATTTTACTTGGTACCTTAGGCACAATCGGCTGGTTTTTTGGCTCACTTTGGAAAGTGTCGAATAATATTTTCAAGTACTATATTTATATTTATAGCTACACAGTAAATATATTCGTATATTAATGAATATTTTTCAAGCCTTTTTGTCTGATCAATAGCCAGAAATTGTAGGTCGACGTATAAAAATATATCCCCATTGTCTCTAAAGCACAGGTGGAGTCACAAAATGCATTACACAACTCATGCTCGGAAAAGCTGAAAGCCGATAATTTCCAAAAACAAAGCAATGTAAAGCTTGCTTGAATTGGCTGTCAGTTACCCGTGAGTACCTCCGTGTGGAGTCTGGGAAACTTAAAAGCGGCCGGATTCCTACTTTGGCTATTCCAGTTAATTCCTCGAAAAATTCTGAACCCATGAACTTTCCTTTTCTTCTACAGAGCGCTGCCCGCCTAATAGGTGCTGCAAGATTTCTGGCTCTTCTTCATTTCTGCAGCTTTTCGGGTTTGCAAAATGGCCTGTTAGTAGTCTCATGGATGTGGATAAGTTCCCTCTGTCTAGAATGTGCAGACCTTTCGACCGTTCGAAACTAGCCCATCTATCACTTGCTTCTTTAAGAGATGGAAGTCTTAGGATGAGCTCGCAGGTAGCGAGTGGCATGGCTAAATCCAGCCAGGATTAGGAAAGTAAAACGGACCTATTCTCTAGTTTTGAACCATCAGTGTAGTATTTTTCATATATATATATATGTATATATGTATATTTTTTCAGAAAATGGAAAAGTAAAGCTGAAATAATGTTATTGTTGAACGTATCTAGACATAAAATTGTAGAGTTGCCACCTGTTTGAAATTTTCAGTTTAAGTAAATTGATAAGGTAAAATAAATATTGCAATAAGGCCGTAAAAATAACTAGGTTTAAGGAGGCGTACTGCCGAAAAATTTTTATTGACGGTTGCCACCTGTGTGAAAATTTTAATTAAATTTAATTGTTAAGATAAATTAAATATTTCATATTGATATCAAAGTAGTAGGAAAGTTTATTGCCGAAAACATTTTTGAGAAGGGTTGCCACACGTTTTGAAACATTTTATCAAATTTAATTGAGAGTTTTAAGAAAGTTTAGTGTCGAAAATATTTTAGAAAAGTTTAATTCAGAGTAATTGATAGGCTAAATATTACAACATGGGTATCAAAAGAAAGTATTTAAGAAATCTTTGATTTAGAAATATCTTTCTTAAAAAAAGAAATCTTCTTAAAAGCTCATAAATAAATAATAATAATATATAAATTATTATGCACATATTTATGCCGATATTGCATGTTGGCGGGATTTGAAGTTTTTGCTTTATTGTGTGTGTACGAGTTAGCTTACAAAGAGCACATTTCGCCAACTCTCATAAATATGTAAAACGAAAACTCTTATGTTTCTAAAAGATGTATTGACACTTGAAACCTGTCAACAGTGACACATGGAAATTTACAGTAAGAAGTACCTGAAAGTCTGCGTCTATACATATATGTATGTGCTTTCGTGTATGTGTGTACTTTTGTGCCCCGCAAGAAATTTTGTCGGTGATAATGAATTAGTTACCGTGACTTAAATGTGAAGTTATTCGTTTATGATTTTCTATTCTTACACGTGATTTTTTACAGTAAAAACTGCTAAATTAATTGTACACCGCGACTTGAAGTTACAAAGAGCGCTGAAATCAATTCAAGAGAGTTTCTCATGGTTAATTAAAAAGTGCGAAGTAAGATAAACTGAAGATCACACAACGCCGAAACCAGTTTGTCTCCAAAGCATACTTGTCAGGAGATGACGGATAATTAGTCAACATGATTATGCCAGGATTTTAACTCTCATTCCAGCACGTTTGATATATCAGATCCGCTTTGCAGCATTAAGAAAGCGATACTCTTCTCTCTCAATAAGTGAATTATTGACATAAATACATAAAATCAGCTGATGAATTTAGTTCTGTAGCTGAACAGTTTTAGATCTCGACACTTAACAAACTCCTGCCTATCGTGACTCGGCACAAAAATTTAAAATATTGGTTCCGTACGTCATGCGGACTGCGCCCCTCGTGCGGATGGGCGGGAAGGGAGGGTAAAAACCGTTGGGATTATTATTATTATGACTAATTCTACTCCAGGAACATGCAGCATCAAGGATCAGATGTGATTTTTAGTCTTTACGGACAGCGTTCGCTAAATTACATGAAGCCCATCTGCCCAAGGGCCCTACTCTTTGCCTGGTGACATAATTTAAAAGGTAATTTTTCTCCTTAACTCCTCAGCCATGCAGTGTCCTGCAATGCCACTGTGGACTGGTAAACATATAAGCCTTACTGAAAATGTATGAGACACCTTGCTCTACCAAGTCTTCTCTTGAGTGTGTAGAGAATAAGCCGCTTGAAATCAATATGGATTCGAAGTGATCCGTGTAATTTGAGGCGTAACAGAAACTTTCAAGAATTTTAGAGTGTCCTGACGCTGGCCTTGTTAGGCATTTGGTTTCACGCAGACTGATTGCAGCCCGTGCTATGGCAGTTCTGCTTGCTCTATGCAAAGCTTTTATGTTAAGCATGGCGTTAAGTCCCAGATAGTGCAGCACATGTCGTAGCTCTCTATAGGAAATTCCGACCAATTAATGGTGTATTAAATCACGGCCGACTGAGATCGAAACTGAGTAACTCACTTCATACTGGGATTTTAGTCTAAAGATTTCCGTATATTCTCCAGCTAGGAACGATTGGAAAGGTGGTCTACTGTCGGAAAATGATGGTTCGTCTCGGATCTAAACTTCAAAGGATCGCAGATACGGCAAGAAATACTTGCCATAGACGAGGCGGCTTGTCCCATAAGAAATAGTAGGTCTCCATCACGGCACTTCCGTTGACAGCCAGCCGGCGGTAGTAAACTCGAAAATAGTTTGGAAATGTTGTGCATCGCTGGCTTCATTGAGTTACGTCACAACCTTTCTCTGCTGAGATCCTGTATCAGTATCGAAGGGAACCAATTAGCTGACGAGACGGCGCAGAAATGCAAACATGTGAAGCGGATACTCAGGATGGTTGAAGACTACATCACAGCCATAACAAATACCTATGGATCAATTAAGACGATTGTGAGATCACAAGAGCATTATGTAGGAGATCAATAAGAGTCGTACTGAAGAATTGATGCAAAAAAAATCTGCAGCAAGGGCTCTTACCGGCTTCATTATAGGGCACTGTGCTATTGCACCATTGTTCCATCGATTTCGTATACAAACAAGCTCCCTCTGCAGATGTTGTTAGTATGAGGAAGAGGAGAAATCGATACTGACAATATAGAATAACCTCGGTTTGCAGAATGTGCCTCCTCCGGCATTCGCGAAGGTTAAAGGCTCTGTTATGCATACTTGGCATTGCTTGAGAGTTGTGTTGGTTTTGATTTCTTATTTCTTAAAAATGTTATAGCAGTGCATGCAATGCCAAGTTAGCAGTTCACTTAGTCACCAGTTTAAGACAGCATTAGGTCAGATCATATATAAAGTAAAAAAAGATGCTCCTAACCTACACCGTATGGATTTTAGGTTTTCAAACAAAACGGAAGGTCAAACTTTAACTGAAAGGATACCCTAGCTGTTTTTTTCTTTCCTTTCTTTA